TACCAAAGGTGATGTTGTATACTTTCTATAGCATCACATCAGGAAGTACATAATGTCAGGCCATCCACAAAAATATATATAATCATATAGATAAATAAACACAATATTCAGATCATGCTCCCTTAGAGGAATATGTTTCCAGGACAAAAATAACAACTGAAAAATTTTGAACTTCATCTTGCAGCTTTTATTACTAGTTTTGGTTTGGTAATTGGTAAACAGTTTTGTATTTATTGCAGATCATTGTGGGGCAAAGTGAGAAAATATATTATTTGTAGGGATTTTTGGACCCATTTTCTCACTGTTCAAGAAACAAAATACAAATAAGGAATGGCAGAAGTTTTTGAATTTGGATTAGAAGTATTCGTAGGAACTCATGATTAAAAGGAAGACAGTATCCAGGAAGGAATAACAGTGCAAAATCAATTAACACACCTCTTTCTTAGTTATTGATTTATAAATACCATTTCTCACTTTTAGTGTCCAAATTTCTTGGAGAAATTGATAATTTTAGGAGAAGTACAGGTTGAATCTAGAATAAAAGCATCCTTTTATCCCAGAGAAAGAAAGTGCTCACATATTAATGAAGTCATGTCAAAAGAACATATGCTTACAGAAGTTGGCACGAAGGGGGTTTAGCTGACCAAATTTGTGATCATTTAAGTCTAAATTTAATCATTATGATCACATTATAACATATTGAGTAAAGAATATATATATATATAATGAATTTACAGTAATGTCCCCTCCTTACCACTTAAAGAGGGTAAAGAAGGGCAGATAGGTTTTCTTTAATGCCAACTGTGATGGATTAAAGAATGTTATTTGTTAATTTCTCCATTTTGAGGTAAGATATTGAATCTGAGATGGATACATGTGGTAGAAGGGATATAGTGACAATTCTGAGTCTAAATTTTAAGAAGGTAGGAAAACTTTGGCTTCCTTAATTTTAGAACATTGGATCTGGCATGATCATGTTCCCTCTCAGATCCCCATCACCATGGGAATCCAAACTCACAAGGTGATGCTAAACTTTGGGACACTGGTCAATAGCCTCAGCTGAGCTTCCAACTAACAGCTACCTTTAACTGCCAACCATAGAAGTCAGCTATCTTGGAATTTCCAACTCAATTGAACTCCTACATGACTACACTTAATATGACGTGAAGCTAAAGAACCACCAGTTCAATGCACGGAATCATGACAGATAATAAAATAGTTGTTTTAAACCAATTTGGTATGGTTTAAATTATACCAATTTTGGTATGGGTTTGTAATACAGCAATAGATAACTAAGCCAGTGGCTAGTACATGTAGAGGAATGAAAATCAACACTTTGTACACCCAAATATAATACCGGTCTCAGGCAAGGACACTCAGTGGATGCTAAAACTTTTGGGGAAAATTAGCATAACAGTAATATGTATTCTCACGTAAGTACTTGCTATGTATTAATACCATTTGCTCAACTGTTCTTTTAAATCTCAGTAAATTTGGAGCCCTGGCTTATTCACTATTTACTATCATTTGTCATCCAGTTTGAAATAGAGTAGATTCTCAATAAATCCTTATTAAATGAAAAATAAGTGAATATAAACTTAAGGAAATAGAAAAATTGAAAGTGAAATCACAAAGGACATTCCCTTTAAAAGACTCTTTTCTCTGTTTGATTCTTGTCCTCAAGGCTATTCATGTATCTCAAGGATAGGCCTCCTATTCCCAGGGGCAAATGGAATCTTCAAACTGTATTTGTCCAAATCCTTTTCTCAACCATAAAAGACACATTACAAACTAGCTGTGTACTTCAGGCAATTCATGGGTCCTAGTGTCACGTGAATAACACTGAAATCTGAGTTGGATTCTTATAGTCTAGCAGAGGTTTCATCCCTTACTCTTCCCTATGACCAATAACTAAGTGATGGATCATGAGCTTCCACATTTCTTTATTTCTAATGTGGAGCAAATAAGAGATTAAAATGGGAGACTATTTTAGCACAAGCAGGGAAATGTATTTAAGTAAGCATCTTTTGAACATTATGTATTGTTGACTATTTGAGAGAAAGAAGGAAGGCTGAGAGGATATGGAGATAAGGTAAAGAGCTCATACTTAGATATTAAGACAATGGGAGAGATAGTAACATATTTAAAAAATGCAAAGTATTGAACAAAAAGAAAATATGGGGAAATTCAGAGTGATCCAAACATGGAAATAGGCTCAGTCAAGTCCCAGATATGTGATTGAGGATAACAAATAGGTAAGCAAATCCCTAGTTATATTAAAGATATTTTTAAAAAGAGAGATGGGCACACCTGAAAAGTGGTTGGACAGATATTTATGCAGTTATTGAGTCAAACCTGGTGAGGTGGACAGGAGTGGTGGAGGCAGAGAGACAGACCATCCTTTCCATTGTTACTGATACTGGTACAATTGGCCAAGAATACTCATTAGCTGAATTTCTGTTATCCATTCCACTTCTTGCCTGCTATGTTGAGCTAATTATGGAGTAGTAAGTACCCAAAACAAAGTCTTTATGGTAAATTGGTGGGCTAATGAGCCCACAGAAAGCATTTTAATTAATTCTCTTTGTGTTGACAAGAAAGACAGGACTGAATCTGAGCATTTGCATTGGAGATGTTTGAAATCTTGAGACGAGCACAGGTAATGCCTCAGAAGAACTACAATCTGCACTCTATTTGAGGTTAGGCTTTTCTTAAGATAACCAACCATTGAATAGGTGTCAAGATGTGGATTTCATACATTTAATTCATTTTGTCCACAACCTGACTTCTCATAGGTACTCTGATGTAATCAAACACTCCATCAATCTCCAAGCCACCTAGACCAGGAGTTCAGCACATCTTCTTTTATTCCTCCCTTTACAAATCAGTAATGAAAGGCACCAATGTTAACATTTCCTGAGAACTGAGTGTTGTGGATTTTACTATGTAGTTTATTTGATTACCTAATTTTATCCTGGCAAAAATGCTATGAGGTAAGTACTATTAGCCTATTACATAGATGAGGAAAGTAAGACTGATTAAGTGACTCCATAGTTTCCCAATTGTATCAGTCAAAATTAACAGGAAATAATTTCTATTGAATATGTGTATTTATGTATATACACACATACACATATATACATTATATACAAACAGGGTGGAAAAAAGATGTTGTATTATAAGTATACAAAAAACAAAATCCAGAATGTGGGAAAATTTAAAGGTCAAGTTGTCCAGATTTTTCAATATATGTTTAATTGGAACAAGATCGGATAATTCAAAGTCTATAGAAAGTCTGAGAAATCAGACTTGGCAAAAGAAGCAATCAAGAAGATTCTAAGGTACATTGGGCCTTCTCATTAATTTGGGAATTCTCAGTGCTCTGACCACAGAATTATTATTTATTCCTTTCAAAATCTTTTAAAAACCCATTTAACTTTAAATTAAAACACAGGGAAAGTGACCCAAAACAAATGTATAGCATAAGGAGTTTGGTAAGATGAATACCTAACCACCCTTCCTAGAAATCCTCCAGTGCTTCTCTTTCCCTGTGTCTCAATCCACTTAGCCTCTCAAATGTCATCACTACTTCACTGTTATATTAATCATTTCCATGCATTTCTTTGTTTTTTTTTTAATGCTCATTTATTTTGAAAAGAGAGTGCTAGTGTGCATATGTGTGAGGGAGGGTCAGAGAGAGAGGAGGAGAGAGAGGTTCCCAAGCAAGCTCCATACTGTCAGTGCAGAGCCTGATGTGAGGCTCAAATTCAAGAACCAAGAGATCATGACCTGACCTGAGATCAAGAGTCAAACACTTAACCAACGGAGCCACCCAAGTGCCCCTCTCTGCATTACTTTAATATTTTACCCAAATGTGCATCTCCAGACACTATAGTTTGGTATTTCTCATTTTAAATGTATGTGTGAGTTTCTATTTACAGGTTCCTTCTTCATTTCTTTCTTTTTCTTAAAATGTATTTGCCTAAGTGGGTCCATTTGACCTGTAGAGTTTCCCAAAGTCTGGATTTTGCTGCTTGCGTACTTTCAGTGTAATGCAACATGTGTTGTTTTTGTTGAAATTAATCATTTCTATATCTTTATCTCTTTTCTTCAACAATGAGAATCTTGTTTCTCAAGGATATGGGATAGTGACCCAATTTACATGTCCACAGTCCACAGTAAATAATACTGCCGCTGCTACTATAAATACTGAAAACAGTTGAATATTTTTTCCTATGTTCTTTCTATTCACCGATTTATATTCTTTAAAAATTATTTTATTGTATCTCTTTAACTGCATATATAACCCTTGCTTACTACATTTTCTTACTACATTTGCTTCCTTTATTTAATCTTAGCTTGAAAGTAACCATGTTTAATGCTTACCATTCATACTCACCTTGGTAAGTCTCTTTTCATTTTGGTTGACTATAAAGTAGTTCCTAAGGAATGGCTCATGGCAATAAATTCCCCTGGTACTTGCATGATGATAACAGTTCATGCCTTTATACATGAAAGCCAGTTTAGCTGGAAATAAAATCTTTGGCTTGTATTTTCTGTACTTAATATCTCTGAAATAAAATGTTACTCCATTTTCTTCAGGCATAACATTGCTATATAATAAGTCAGGTTTTGCTTAGATACCTGGGGGTTTTATATTTATTCAAAGTCTAATAATTTTAGTATTTTATAATTAGGTGTTGGTCATTTACATATTCTCAGGTAGGTATATGTTACAAATTTGATAGGCAGCCTCAAATCTTTTTTAATGTAAACATTTTTAAATTATAATTTAATATTTGTTTCTATTATCTTATTTTGGTTTACTTTTTCAAAGACTCCTATCATCTATAAGTTGCATTGTTAAAATTTATTTTCCATATTTATTAATTTTTGGAATATTTTTGTCTATTATTAAGTTTTAAATTTTTGTTTCTTTGTACCCTCTGTATCTTCTATGGTGTAAACATTTTGTTTATTTTGTGTTCTTTATATTATAGTCTTTTTATTCTCTGCTGTTGCTTCATAACAAATTACCACAAAACAGAATGATTTAAGACAATGAAAAACACTTTTTCTCAACATTTCTGACTCAGAGACTTTTATGAAGTTGTAGTCATCTGAACACTTGACTGAAGGTTAAAAGATTCACTTACAAGGTAAGTCACACTGATGGCTGATTTGTTGGTGCTGGCTATCGGCAGGAGGTTTCAGATCCTCTCCTCCTTGGCCTTTCCATAAGGCTGAATGGATGAGCTCACCATATGGAAGATAGCTTCTCCCAGAGTAAGAGTTTCAAGAAGGCAAATGGGACATGCAATGCCTTTTATGACCTAGCCTCAAAAGTCATATTTCATCCATTCCATGGTGCTCTACTGATCAGTTCTGTGTCGATGTAAAAATATCTATTATAGAAGGAAGTTGGCTATCATATCTTAATGTCTAAAATAATTTTTAAAATGTTGGAAATACTTCTTGAGTTATCTACTTTATGAGTATTTCTAATCCTAATTTATATTGTTGCCAATGTCTTGTATCTATTTCTTAATATCTATTAGTGATTTTCAAAATAGATATTTACTGTTTTGATGTGTTCTTTGAGCAAGACTTTCTGATACACTTTTGTTATCTGTAAAGATAATATCCTATTATTACTTTTATGACAATTTTAAAATAAAATTTGACATCTGTATTTCTCTTTTGCTCATTTTATATGAAATTAGTTTTCCTGAGCTTTTAGAAGATGTGGTTCAGGGTAGCAATTATAACTTCCCAGAGATTTCTCTTGTTTTCTTGGAGTATTCAGAGATATGATGGCTAGCTTTCAAGACAGTGGCTTTGTTCTCCTCTCCAACCTTTATCTGGACCTCTCTTTTGATTCACCTCCTAGCAGTTTCTTCAAAGTGCAAGGCTCTTACCTTAAAGGGAGTCCCAATAAGTTAGTTCTTAATGTTCAGAGAATGTGGACTTTTGTAGTTCCTTTAATATTTGCTGTATAACTTTTGTATTCATATGCTATTAATTTGGACAAAACCCTTCCAGCTGCCTTTCTTAAATTGACTCTCTATGCTTTCTAGTGAATGCGTGTTGTTTATTTTGAGGTTTTACTGTTTCTCAAGTCCATTAAATGTCTTGTTGCTTCCCTGTGATTTCTCCTTTGCAGAGATGGTCACTGGTCAGATCAATGGCTATTGGTAGTTTGTCTTTGCCCATTATATTTTGAAGTTTAGGGGATGTCTCACCAGCTATTTTTTAATAGATTGACTGTAGGATTTTAGTATTGTTTTCCAGTTGTCTGCTCTGATTTTATGAAGATATTCAGAGAGATTGAAAACTATGCTACCACCATCAATCATATGCACAATCCCTCAATAATTGCATTCCTTTTTTAAAAAAAAATATTTATTTTGAGACAGAGTGAGGGGACAGAGGTTCTGAAGTGGGCTCTCTGATGACAGCAGAGAGCCCAATGCAGAGCTCGAGCTCACGAACTGAACTGTGAGATCATGATCTGAGCTGAATTCAGATGCTTAAGTGACTGAGCCACCCAGGCGCCCCTCAATCACTGTATTCTTAATGCAAATACTGCTACCAGTAATACTTCTTACAGTGCCCCCTAAATATTTGTGTCACTTTCTCAGGCTTAATAGTCCTGTCCTAGAGCCTTAATTACCCGACCTATGAGATATGCTCATGTTCCTACTACTAATAGGCACCGAGATGAAATATATGGCCCTAAGTGTTCACACTGCCCTATACACACTAAGGCATGCATACGTCACACACACATGCCTCACTTTTCCATTTTAAAGGATAGATGACTCTGGTTCTCATTAGCTAGTGTCTCTGCCTATAAAAAATACCTACCACAGACTAGGTAGCTTATAAACAACAGAAAATTATTTCTCACATGCCTGGAAGCTGGTAAGTCCAAGATGAAGGCACTGGCAGATTTGGTGTCTGGTGAAAACCCATTTCCTGGTTCATGAAGTGCTATCTCCTCAATGTCACGGCAAGGAAGAAAGAGTGAGAGAGCTCTCTGGGGTCTCTTTCACAAGGGCACTAATCACATTCCTTAGAACTCCACCCTCATGACTAAATCACCTCCCAGAGACCCTATGACCTAATACCATCACATTGGGAGTTAAAATTTCAACATATGAGTTTTAGGGGTACATATTCAGTTCAGAACAGCATACCCAGATCAAGGACAAGATTTTTGGACCTCTGCTCCTGTTTTTATGATCCTGAAACAATATTTTAACAGCACTGGACCAAAATTTAAAGTTAAGCAGCACTAACACATATTGTATAAATACAAGATGAAAGGGAAATTGGTTAACATATGAACATATATTTTGACATGCAACTGAATGTGCTTTTTAGCCAAATGCCAGATGGCTAAATGTAAAAACAATAGTCAATTGAAGCTTGATATTTCCATCATAGAATCAACTTTTAGGATTTAGGAACACATCTTAACTATTCTTCAACTTTTAATATTAAAATGTTACTGGTCAAATTTTGTTATTTTGGTATTATGGTATAAGGACAACAATTTCTCAGCTGGCAGCTGCTCGATTGTTTCTATAATCATTATACTTCACATTTGTGATTCTACATAGATGTTCACTTTATGAATTTTTTAGGACACATCATTTGCTTTAACACTCTGATTTCATATACTTTATAGTCTTTAATATATATGGATCAAAGATGATTTATAAAGGATATAGTTGCATATGCTACTGGAACCATTCCTCCCTTTGAAACTTGAAGGTAGCAAATTTGACATTTTGCTTTTAATTCATATTTGCCAGATATTAAGAATTCCCAAAACAGGATTTTTCATGACTCTTGGCCTTAATATATTTAAACAATTTAAAAAACATATATGTGTGTAATTATATGAAGGCTAAAACATCAAAAGTTATGTATTAAGTTAGGATATACTCTCATTTCTTTTACTTTTTCTTATAATATCAATTATACCTTAAAGATATCTGTTAGTTCAAAATAATATGTAGTTTTTCCTAATATTATCTAATTGTCTCTTATGGCTTGTAGTAAATGTCAGATTCTCTATTTCTGAACTATCTAAAAGCTTTTAGTAATTTTTTATTTGTAAAGTTAAAGACATTTACTATTCTTGTTAATTATGGCAACATTTTGCTCCTGTAATTTTTTTCCCTTGAACCAACGGACAAAATGCTAACATGTAAAGCATACTAGAGCATTATTTTGAAATGACATTAGGAATGTTTACCTATATTTGATCGTAAATATTTAAATATTATAATTATATCCAGAATATTAATAGGCCAAATAATTTGTGCCAATCATCTTCCCATCTAAAAAATACTGATAAATTAGAGAAAATGTATTTTTAAAATATGCATAGGAGCCATGACAGGTTAGGATCCAAGAGAGAAACCCAGAGAGGTGAGCCTTAAATTTAGGGCATTTTCTCCTAAAAGATAATTATTGACTTTAAAAAGAATATAAGAAGCTCAAAATAAAAAATAAATAAAAAGAATATAAGAAGCTCGATAGTATTTTTGGATCACCTCTCGGGCTAGGGGTACAAAAAATGGAACCTTGGACCCATCAAACTTGGGTTGGAAGACTAGTAAACCTCTTATATTTTAGATTTAGACTATAAATGGCTACAATTTATAGTGAATGATGAAGTAAATTAGTCCTCACGGTGACTAAAGGCCAGTTTTGAATGATCAGAAACATTGAAATTGGATTAAGCTTATCCTTGCTTGCTTATGTCTTTAGCCACTTACCAGAATCAAATATAATCTTCTCTGGAAGAACTAATGTATCATTGTAGGTCTCAAGTTATTTTTATAGTTTTTCAAATAAAATTTTTGGCATTCAATTAAAAAGTCACATGAAGAGTGTTAGAGGTAAAATTGTGTCCCCCCCAAAAGCTATGTTAAAATCCTTACCCCTGGTATGTATGAATGTGACCTTATTTGGAAATATGATCTTTGCAGATATAATTGAGTTAAGGTTGGGTTATGATCCACTTGGTGGGCCCTAATCCAATGTTCCTGGTGTTCTTTTAGAAAGAGATACATAAACACACAGGAAGAATATCACATGACAATTGAGGCAGAGATTTAAGTAATGCAAAGAAATGCCAATGTTTGCTGGCAATTTCAGAATCTAAGGAAATACACGGAACATTCTCTCCCCCAGGGCCTGCAGAGACAACATGGCCTCGCCAACACCCTACTTTTGGACTTCTATCCTCAAGAACTGTAATAGAATAAGTTGCTGTTGTTTTCAGCTATTTACTTTGCTATATTTTTGTTACAGCAGGCCCAGGAAACTAATACAAGGAGACAGGGAAACATGAACCAATGAATAGAAAATAGAATAGAAACAAAATCCACAGGATTTTTCATGCATTTGTGATGAAGATGGCATTTGTGAGTTCATTTTTGAATTTGCAGTTCAAGGCGCCCAGGTGGCTCAGTCGGTTAAGCATCCAATTCCATTTGGCTTAGGTCATGATTTCATGGTTCCTGGGTTTGAGCCCTGTGTTGGGCTCTGGACTGCAGAGACTCCCTCTCTCTCTGTCCTTTCCTCCCTCCCTCTCTCTCTGTCTCAAAATTAATAAATAAACTAAAGGGAAAAAAAAGAATTTATAGCTCTTCTTCACCATAAAGGAATGGTAGTTAAAATGTAATAAAAAAACCCTTAAAATTAAGATAAATATCTCCATCGGTGAAATAGTACATGGAAATAAAGCTGTGATCAGAAGTGAAACTGAAGGAGTGCCTGGGTGGCTCAGTCGGTTAAACAGCCTGACTCTCAGTTTTGGCTCAGGTCATGATCTCATGGTTTCATGAGTTTGAGTACTGCATCGGGCTCTGTGCTGACAGTATGGAGCCTTGGTCTTCTCTCACTGCCTCTCATCTGCTCATGCTGTCTCTGTCTCTCAAAATAAATAAACTTAAAAAAAAAATGAAACTGTAGATTTGTTGACATCAATGACTAAAAGCAGAGAGTGGGAGCTGAGGCTGTGAGTTTGACTCCCAGTGAAACTACAAATTTTTAAAAACTAAACCAACACAAAATTGAAGAACTGAATCAGGCCAAGTCACCAGACCTGGAAAGGGAAACCCAGAGACAGTGGAAGAAAGAGAATGGGAAGCTCAAATTCATGAAGAATGTGGAGACCTCTAGCTATCCACCAAAATTTACTTTTCCTTCTTCTATACAATGTCAGAAAGCAGCTTCTCTTGCAGTTAGGATGGACCACATGGCTGATTTCTCTCCAATAGAAATGTAGACCTAAATGAAAAGTGCTAATTCTATGAATTCTCTATATTTTGTCCCCTTCAGGTGGACTGGGATGTTGATGCCCAGGACAACTTTGGAAGTCACACATTGAAAATACAGTGGTTTGATAATTCTGAGGCATGATTTTAAGATGGCTCCCAAGATTTACTCTATTCCCTGGTAATATATACCCAGTTATCAATCAAATTCTAATATAGGTGCTGCCAGGAAGGGATTTTGCAAAGTTATTAAGGCCCTCAATTAGTCGACATTAAGATAGGGAGATTATCTTTGGTTGGTCAGACTTAATCAGCGATACCTTAAAAGGGGCTGTGTTCTTCCTGCAGATTTGAAGTTTAAGAAGGACTTGACCTGAGAGATGTCCTCTGTTGTCCTCTGGCTTTGAAGTAGAGGAGGCAAGAAATAAGGGTGGCCTTTATGATGTGATAATGATCCTGGCTGACAGGAAGGAAATGGACATCTCAATTACCCAGCATGAACGTGACTTCTGCTATCATCCTGAATGAGCTGGAAAGCGAAAGCCCTTAAACCTTCAGAGAAGAATGCACCCGTGGCCAATATCTTGAATTTTTCATTGGAAAATTCTGAGCAGAGAACCTGGTTATGTTGGATTTTACTTCTGATCTACAGAACTGAGCTAATATATGCATGTTGTTTTATGCCACCAAGTTGGTGGTAATTTGTTCTGCAGCAATAGAAAGCTAATGCAGGCTGTCTGAATAACCTCACAGAAGAGATCTAATCTACAGTTATGAACACTTTCCATGAGCGCTCAGCAAATCTCAAGAAAACTTAAGACTGTCTAACTGCCAAAATATTTGCTCACCCCCTTTTCTTAATCTGACTACTTTACCGTAACTAATACAGCATGGTGGCATTTATTTAAAATTTACAAATAAGAAAACATTAGTATCCATTTTGAATTAATTATACTTGTATTCAAATATATATTAAACATGAACGGAAATAAATACCTTCACCTGTTTTGAGTTCTTGCAGACACCATTTACAAGGGTAACATTCTGGGAGCCAAATCTAGGGAATGGTATTTAGCCAGATAGCATCATGAGTTGTTTAACAAGTTAGGGTGAAGATAAGTGTGAGATAGAATAGGTGAAATGTACAAAAGGGACTTTGGTATTTTTAATGAATAATATTTGAAACAAAAATGACCAACGTCAAAATTCATTAAAAGGCTTAACTCTTCCATATATTTGAAATATTTTATAATAAAATATATTTTAAAATAACAATATCGGAGATCATTTACCCAATATCACACATATGGGGAACTTAAATGAGGTTATGTGTCCATTGATGAATAGCTAAAACATGGTACGTACATAATAGCATATTATTATTCAGCCTCACAAAAAGAAGGAAATCCTGCCAGTTGCAACATCATGGATAGACCTGGAAGACGTTGCACTAAATGAAAAAAGCAAATCAGAGGATAAAAATTGCATGATTTTGCTTATATCAGGGCTCTAAAAGAGTTAAACTCCTAGAAGCAACAAATATATTATTGGAAGTCAGAGGCTGAGGAGTGGTGAAACAGGAAGCTGTTATTCAGTGGATATGTTTCAATTATGCTAGATAAATAAGTTCTATATATCTGCTGGACAGCATGGTGCCTATAATTAACAATATGGTATTGTGCACTTCAAAACTTGTTAAGAGTACATCTCATATTTAGTGTTCTTACCACAGAAGACAAAAAAAAGGAGAGAGAGAGAGAAACACAAGGAAGTTTTGGAAAGTGCTGGATATGTACACTACCTTGATTATGGCAATGGTAACAAGGGTGTTTGCACAGATCCAAACTTATCAAATTGTATACATTAAATGTGTAAAGTTCTTTATACTTCAGTAAAGTTTTTTTTTTTTTTAAAGAAAACATGGCCACTATTAATGGATGTTACAATTTGTACCACCAACATTAATACTTGGAGTAAAATTGTTGGTGTTACTCTTAACCTTCTCATCATGCATCATATAGGAATGAAGTAGCCCTGGGAGAAGAAACTTGAATTCTAAAGGCATGCCTTAGGCATGTGGGAAGGGGACCTCTCAGACTTTAAGGCGGCTTAAAATTTTTCAGAAAAATCCAAGGTGCTAAAATCTAAGTCAGCAATAAATCCTAAGCCAGCCATAAATCAGCCAGCAAACCACATCTTTTGGACCATATAGTGTGGTTATATTTATTTACTTTATACCAAATCTTCAGGCTGTGTTTAAAGCCTTGAAGTCTTTTATTAGCTGTCATCAGGGATATTAGAAAGTTGTCTATTCTGGGTAACAGTGAGCATAAATAATATATTGTTAAGACAAAATTGAAACCGGGGATGCAGATCAGGACTGCTCCATCTGCATGGAAAGCCACACTCCAGCGGTGACCTAAGAGACCTGGATGCTATAGCAGTCTGTCTGAAATGCTGTTAGACTTATTTTCTGGAAACACAATTCTGATCCTGTCCCAATCTTCTGATAATTAACATCCAAATCCTTGAGCCTGATATTGAAGGCTTATCACAGTCTTTCACCTATATTCCCTGTCTAGGATCCAACAACTATCTTTCAAGTAGTTTCCATTCCATCTTTATTCTTCACTGCTTTATAGACATGCCGTCTTACATACATTCCCTCAAAAACAAAACACTAAACCTATTCTTCCTCTATTTGAAACTTCAGAAGCCATCTTGCTGCTATAAGGGAACAAGTATGAGGACAAAAACCTGGGCTAAAGCTGTTGTTCTCAAACACTCACATGAATAAAGAAAACAACTAGAAAGATGTCATTCTGATTCCATAGGTTAGGGTGTCGCGCATAATTTTGTATTTCTGACAAGTGTCTGGTAATGCTAATGTTGCCAAGCCATGGGGGGTCACATATTGAAGAGTATGGGCTAAAATATGGCAGATAAGAATGGTAGAAAGAGCCTAGGTCCCTGAAGACATTATAGAGCACTTGAGTTAATGCCAATATAGCCTAAATCTGAAATTTTTTGTTATGTGAAAAAAACTCACCAAAAACATAAATATTTAGCCCACTCATACTGTTTTACTTTCAGCTAATTCCATTCCAAATGTTACCATTTATCATTATTATCAAAATCTTCAGCATTGTTATCATAGTAGCCATTATTTAAACTATGTGCTGGGCATTATATGAAATCTTTTGATTAAATTATATTTTGCAACTCTCACAGCAGTTTTGTGAAGTATTTTCTCTATTTATGGTAGACGAAAATAAGGCAGAGGTTATTTTTTTACCCATGTTCACAATTAGAATGTTGCTGTGCAAGCCAATATCTCTCGAATTCCCCTACTCTTAACTTTTATGTTATAAGCCACCTTTTCCATCAAGCATACAACTGATGCTTAATGACAATGGATGATATTTTAAAATTTACTTTTCTTATTTGATAAATTTGTCCTGTTAAAATTTATAAATTTATAACGTATGCAGCATGTTGCTTTGGTATATTTATATGTTGTAATATGTTGTCATTGAAGCAATATTTATCACATCATTATAGTACAGTATTATTGACTACATTCATTATATTGTGCATTAGATATCTATAAAAACAAGCACATGAAAAGATGCTCAACATCCCTAGTCATCAGGGAAATGCAAATCAAAACCACAATACGATATCACCTCACACCTGTTAGAATGGCTATCATCAAGAAGACGAGACAACAGGTTCTGGCAAGGATGTGGTGAAAAAAAAATGAACCTTTATACACTGTTGGTGGGAATGTAAATTAGTCCAATGATCATGAAAGACAATATGGAGGTTCCTCAAAAAATTAAAACTAGATCTATCATATAAATCCAGTAATTCCACTACTAGGTATATACCCAAAGGAAATGAAAACAGGATTTTAAGACAACAAACACACACTCATATTTTTCTTAGCATTATTCACAATAGCCAGTACTAGTTGAATTAAAATGTTCTTGGATCACTCCAGTTGGAAGTTGTCTCTTTATATTATGATTGCATATATCTAAACACTTTGCCATTCATTGTTCCTTCCCATATCAACACTTAACAGCTATGAGTAAAGAGCCATAGTAAATATTGAGAGTATAGAGGGGACAAGTCATCTCAGGTCTCAACAAAATTATAGGCTTATAATAATGAAAAACTGAGATAAGAAAAATCAATTTTATATTTATAATATATATATATCAATTTGTATCAGTTTTATTATAGTGGTATTAATATAAAATATATCCTCCAACTTTGGGTAGTTACTTGCACACAGTGATCTCCCCTAATATAACTATTTTTGGTAAAAATAGTCTGTTTTTCTGATATTTGTATTTCTAACACCTAATAGATTCCATGCATAGCAAGTTCTTTACAAATTTGAATAAACTAATATATCTCTGCCTAACAGCATATCACATACAGATACCTTCAGTATTATACTTTTAAAAGGATTTTTTTTTGTTTTGGGTGAACATTTTATTGAAGGAAGGAATATAACTATTATCTTCTTTTTGTGGCTTAGAAGAAAGAGAAACAGCTAAACAATAAAAAATAAAAATAAAACTAGCATTATTAAACACCTAATATTTGTCATACTACATCCTTTGCATGTTTATTTAAGACAATTACAAAATCTCATAAAGGTAGGATCATCTCTATTTTATACACACACACAAGTTATGAGGCTTGGAGTGATTATGTAAGTCAAGGTTTGGCCTATTTGGGGAACTAAATTTTACTTACTGTCTATGTCTGGTTTCAGTTCACAATAGCAGAAATGAGGGCAACAATGGTTTTTTGCCCACAAAGCCTAAAATATTTATTATCTGGCCCTTTGCAGAAAAACATTTCTAACCCCCAGAATAATTTTTAAAGTCACTGAGTAGGAAGTGATAAAAACAGAGTTTGAGTTCTGCTATTTCTAAATTCCACTTTGGGTAGATTGGCTTTGGAAATATCAGGCTTGGATTCTCGAATCCAATTTGACCATATGCTAGCTATGGAACTGTGGGAAGCACTGGTCCTTGTAACACTCAGTGTCCTCAACTGTAAACTGGGGAATATAATCTTATCTACCTGTTGATAGACTAGTAGTGTTACTACATAGTGTTACTATGAAAATCAAATGTGTTGATTCACATAAAGTCCTTTCAGAAGGTCCATTACTGAGTAATTGGTGAAGACATGGAAGTGGTTACTACTTCTGCTATTGCTACTATTATTCTTATCTTCACAATGACTATTTTACTATTGCTGTTACTATTCTAATACAAGGCAGTTTTAGGACTTCATTACTTTGTGGCAAAACTGCTATCACAGTCTTATTTATTATTTTAGTGCTTTGTCTTTTCTCCATTGTTTCAGAAATTGTGTGACAGCATATTCTGCTACTTTTTTTTGTTTATATTGAACCAATAATGCTCAATATAGGTCAAAACCCAGACAATAAATTCCACTATGGCAAAAATCATGTGATATATATGTGTGTATGCTTATATGTGGCAAGGTGTTTGGCATAGACTAGATATTGAATTGTTAAATTAGCATTCAAACATTTATTAAAATGCCACATATGAAAGATAAAGATGGATATAAAAAGGCCACTTTATTTTCTAGGGAATAAAAAAGGAAGCAATGTTTTGTCTTTGAGTGAATCAATGAAAACTACTTAAATTTGGGGCGCCTGGGTGGCTTAGTCGGTTAAGCGTCTGACTTTCGCTTAGGTCATGATCTCGTGGTTCGTGGGTTCGAGCCCCGCGTTGGGCTCTGTGCTGACTGCCAGCTCAGAGCCTGGACCCTGCTTCAGATTCTGTGTCTCCCTCTCTCTCTGACCCTCCCCTGCTCACGCTGTCTCTCTCTCTCCTAGAAAAAAAAAAAAAAAACTACTTAAATTTGATATTTCAAGTCTTAGTAGCTAATCCTTTTATCTCTGCCTATTTACATACTGAATTTATTGTGTTAGTGAGCAACCCATGCCTTTTTGACAACCACTTGGCACTCCCTTACATTAAAGCAGCTACAGGGATTTTCCATTTAAATTATTTTCCACCCAAGTACAATTTCAGGGAACTTGAACCTTTCCATAATGAAGTATTCAACTCCAAATGAAATTGTTGGCCTGCACTGCACAAAGCCAGCTCACTTGTAAGAATCCTGCAGAGATGAAAAGGAGAGTGAGGGGGTCTTATGCGTTTCCCCAGTGCTTTTGAAACTAATAGCTGGTCCATGTTGAATCACAGCACCAGAGTGATAAAACAGGAGATTTATTATAATAGACTTGAATCTACATCTGGAAGGATTTAGTGAGAATAGGGAGAAAACAAATTTGAGCATTGATTATTCCAAAAGGATCTTGATGTAGGTGAAGCTATACGAGAAAATAGCAAAGTTGCTGCACATGATACCAGAGGTAATCATGTCGTTCTTTTTCAGAGTGGAGAGAATATTTTATTAGATTTGGAAAACAAATCATCTATTTGACAATGGACACTGATAGGAAAACCTAAATACTAACTCATCAAACATTCAACTAATTAGGAAACTTTGGAGAAACCCAGTGGATTTTTGAAAAATCTAGTAGATCAAAGGTGGAGTTAAGACAGTATTACAATTCAGTGAAAATGGAATATCCTATCTCTAAGTAGTGGCATGCCCTTGATCCAATTTTTTGATAATTCAAACCTCCATTGTATATTAGAGGCTAAGGATACAAATACGAGTGAGTGTCAAATTTCAGATTGCTATAATGAAATACTGCACACTAGGTGTCTTATAAACAACAGAAACTTATTTCTCACAGTTCTAAAGCCTGAGAAGTTCAAGATCAAAATGCCAGCAGATTCAATATCTGGTGAAGACCGACCTCCTGGTTCATGGATAGCTATCTTTTCACTCTGTCCTCACATAATGGATAAAGAAGATTTCTGGGGTCTCTTTTACAGGGGCATTAATCCCAATCATAGGTCAATCCTCCTGACTGAATTGCCTCCCAAATCCCTGTGTTCAAATCTCATCACATTGGGGGTTAGGTTTCAACATACAAATTTTCAGAGGATACAAACATTCAGTCTGTAACAGTGAGATACGGTGATTACTTTAAAATTGATTTTGGTTTGTTGAGACATCCAAGTAAACAACTACATTTGAAAACTGCAGTGGTGGGGTGCCTGGGTGGCTCAGTTGGTTAAGTGTCCGACTTCGGCTCAGGTCATGATCTCACAGTTCGTGGGTTCAAGCCCCGTGTCGGGCTCTGTGCTGACAGCTAGCTCAGAGCCTGGAGTCTGTTTCGGATTCTGTGTCTCCCTCTCTCTCTGACCCTCCCCTGCTCACGCTGTCCCTCTCTCTCTCTCTCAGAAAAAAATAAAACATTTTTAAAAATTAAAAAAAAAAGAAAAGAAAAATATAGTGGTAGAGTTGTAGGCTAAGGATCACATGGAGTCACAGTGAAGTGGGATGCAGAGAATGGTTCATGGAGAAAGTGAGACATGAAGTACTATTATTTATTTTCTGATTTTGATATCAGGGCAATTCTGCCTTCATAAAATGAGTAGGTAAGTGTTTATTCTTCTGTTTTCTTTCTTTCTTGTTTTCTTTCTTCTTTTTCACCTTCATTTAGAGAGACAGGGTGGACATGGAGCGAGGGGAGGGAGAGAATCCTGAGCAAGTTCCATGCTCAGTGTGGAGCCTGAGTTGGGGGTCCACCCCATGACCTTGGAATCATGACCTGAGCTGAAATTAAGAGTCAGATCCTCAACGAATTGAGCCACCCAGGCACTCCTATGCAGTTTGTGAAGAATTGGTATTACTTTTCCTTAAATGTTTAATAGAATTCACTATTGAAACCATTTCAGACTGGGATTTTCTTTTGGGGAAGAATTTTAACTTTGAATTTAATTTCTTTAATAGATATAAAGTTATTCAGCCACTTTATTTCGTCTAGAGTTAGTGTCTTTAAAGGAATATGTCCATTTTATCTATGTTTTCAAATTTATTGCCATGAAGCCTTTTGATATTCCTTGATCTCTTAATGTCTGTAGGATTTGTGGTAATGTCTCTTTTATTCCTAATATTTTTAATTTGTGTCACCTTTTTAAAATTTCTTTGTAAGTATGGCTAAAAGATGATAAATTTTATTGACTTGTATTCAAAGAAGCAGTTTTTAATTTCATTTCTCTCTCTCTTGCTGTGTGGTTCTTCACTTTAT